CACCTGGGGGCTGAGGCTCACCTGGAGGCTGTGCTCACCTGGGGCCCAGAACCTTGGAGTTGCACTGGCCTCACCCAGGCCAGAGCCTACTCAGTACTGCTCTGTGCTCCTCTGACAAATCTTGTTTGTTCCCTCTCTGATTTTTCTCTTTATTCTCATTTTTTAAACACACGTCGCCTTATATAACACTAGAGGCCTGGTGCACAAAACCCATGCAGGGCGGGGGGGAGGGGTGGTCCCCTCAGCCCAGCCTGCACCCTCCAATCCAGGACCCCTCGAGGGATGTCCGACTGCTGGTTTAGGCGCAATCAGGATCAGGCCTAAACCGGCAGTCGAACAACCCCCTCACAATCCTGGACCACTGGCTCCTAGTCGCTTACCTGTCGGCCTGCCTAGTCGCCCCTAATTGCCCCACGCCCTGCCAGCCTGACCGCCCCTCATTGCCTCTGCGTGCTGGCCTGATTGCCCTTAACTGCCCCCCCTTGCCAGCCTGGTTGCCCCCAACTGCCCCCATGCTGGCCTGGTCACCCCCAACTGCCCCCCTGCTGGCCTGGTTGCCCCATGCAGACTTCTGTTCAGTCGTTTGGTCATCCTTCACTAACCCCCCTGTCGCCTGGTCATAGGCAGCCATCTTGTGAGGGTGTGATGGCTAATTTGCATACTAACTCTTTATTATATAGGATTATCTACAGAAACCTAAACATGAGAGCCTTTTCTGTAATGTGAGCATTTGCTGCTCTGAGGTTTCTCGGTGTGGATGTTGGGGCAGTATCGGCACCCCGAGGCAGCCCAACCTGGCCCAGGTCACCCATCAGGGGAGTCACTGGGGCACTGAGCAGTTGTATGCGAATCTGGTGAGGTTCTGACCCATTGAACCGATCTATGCACTTGGTAGGTTAGTAAATCCTTACACGTGCTGGGTGGCATTCATTTCTTGAAAACCAGCCTGTGCAGAGAGAGACAGAGTGGCCTTTGGGACCAGGCAGATTTGGGTTCAAACTCTTCTTTCTCTGACACATTAGGTTTTGACCAGGCAGCTGCTCTGTGTCTCCACACCTCAGCCCCTCAATCCATTCTGAGTTTATTTTTGTACACAGTGTGAGAAAGTGGTTAGCTTCATTTTGTTTACATGCAACTGCTCCAGTTTCCCCAACACCATTTATTGAGGGGCCTATCTTTCCCCCATTGAGTGCTCCTGCCATTTCTGTCTCAGATTGACCACATGGGTGTGGGTTCATTTCTGGGCTCTCTGTTCTGTTCCACTGGTCCACCTATCTGCTTTTTGGACCTGTATTTTACTGTTTGGATTCTGAGAGTTTGTCAGCATACTTGGATATCAGGGAGTGTGATACCTCCAGCTTTGTTCTTCCTCCTCAAGACTTGGGGGCTTTGGTGGGGGAGCCACATGGTTTCCGACATCACTTCCAGCCTCACCTTCTGTGGTCCTTGCTGAGTGGGTCTCTACCCATCCCAATAGATGCCCACAAGGACATTCTCTCTTTGGCACCTCACCACCTGCAAGGAAAACCCTGTGAGAACACGTCCCTGGCACTCTGGGTACACGCCTCGTTTAGAACTCTGGATGCTGCAATTCTGACTTGCCAAGCAGCTTAGCAAACACAGTCCTCAAATCCTGATCACGTCATCCTGACTTGTCCCAGCCTGAGCCCTGCTGCTCACCTCCAGGCGTGTCATAGAGTCACTCCAGGGGTCACTCGGGGAACCGCGGCCCGTGCACCAGCCTGGCCTGCTCTGGGCTGACTGCTTATTTGCTACTCTTTTACTCTTTCCATGAGTTTGACAAGGGACTTCTGAAAGCCTAGGGAAGCAGGCGATCCCTCACAACAACCTCTGACCAGAGGAGGCCCGATCCTGAAGCCCATTTGTAATATGTTCTGCTTTTCATTCTCTTTAGACCTCAAAGCTTTAAACTGCCAGGTAAAGGCTCTCTAGGGATTAAAGTAAACCTCTCAGTAAAAAATATGCTGTTTATAATTTGCATGTTGTTTCTTTTTAAATAATTTGGATTTGGGTTTCCATTTATGGTTCAGACAGATTGGCCTCCCTCATCTCTGTCATCTATTTCCTTGTCAACAATTTATTATCTCTCCATCCATCCATCCATCCATCCATTCTGACAGACTATTTGATCCTCCTGTTAGAACATGAACTCTTCATGGCAGGCAGCTGTGGATGCCTGGTGCCCCGTGCAGACCCCAGCTCCGCAGTGAAGGCTTGTCCTTGACTGAAGTCACGGTTGCTGCAAGACCACCAGGTGGACAGCAAGATGGGGGAGGAGATGCTGTAATTTCGTGTTCTGGCCCATCAGGGGCTCCCTACTGCTTCTGCAACCAGAGTTTAAGCTTCTAGCCATGAACTCAATGTCCTTCTTATTTGATATTTCTAACCTGGAACACTGAACTAGAATGTAGGTCTATTTATTTCATCACTAAAAAATGCAAGCAGCCCTAGCTGGTGTTGCTCAGTGGATAGAGCACTGGCCTGTGGACTGAAGGGTCCCAGGTTCGATTCCAGCCAAGGGCACATGCCTGGGTTGTGGGCTCCATCCCCAATAGCGGGCGTGCAGGAGGCAGCCAATCAATGATTCTCATAATTGATGTTTCTCTCCCTCCCTCCCTCTCCCTTCCTCTCTGAAGTCAATTTAAAAAATGTTTTTAAAAAATGCAAGCAAAATTCCCACACCAAGCCACTGTAGATCACCTCACTGCTTCTTATGTTATTGAATTTTCCAAATTGGTAACTGAAAGGTAAGAACTTCTTTACCCGAAGACAGAAAAGACAACTGCATTCAGCCACACCTGGGCCCCCACACTTCCCATGGGGTCCACACAGGAAAACAGGAGCTTTGCAGCACCCGGGACTTGACCATGGTCTTCATGGAAATAGAGTAATCTACTTATTCTCCTTGAGAATGCCTATCTTTGGATGCTTGTATAGGTTTGGGCATAAGCTACGCCCCAGTCAGCACCCTGATTGACGGGTTTAATGCCCAATCCCAGCAGCTCAAAACCAGGCAGCCACCAAGAACAAACTTCAGTCATGAGTTAAGTTATGCAAAAGGTTACAAACAGTGCTGGCTGTGTTATCTGTGCTCATTCTCCAATGATGGTATTATTAAAACAGAGAAAAAACATTTTCAAGCAAAAGATTGATGAAACACTGAAAGAAAAATAATGTCCTAAGTATTCAAAACTCTTTTTACTGCATTCCATCTTCAGGAAGACCTAGAGCAGCGATGTTTACCTATTTTCATTTCACGGCACATAAACTAATTAGCAAAGTGCTGCGCACCCCAATATACATATTTCTGGCCGATCTGAAAAAAAAAAAGGTATTATTTTGATTCATTCAATTCATTCCTACTTTTCTCAAAGTTGCTCAGCGAATTGGGAATGGCTATTGTTGTGTTGGCTGTTGTTGTTTTATTTTCTCACAATCTAAGGAAAAGAGGCCAGTGCTCCTGAGTAAAGAGTCAGGTATTAGTGTACGTTTTACAAATTCTTGTGGCACACGGGTTGGAAATCGCTGACGGGGGCCCTCTGATGCCATGGGACTCACTTCTCTCCTCATTTGTACTGGTGATGTGATGAGTTAAAGTCAGGAAGAAAGGAAGGAAAAGAAAGAGATAGAAAGTGATCACGGGCAGACGCTTGCTGATTGTTTCTAGAATTTCACGTTCATCCTATATAATAAAAGGGTAATATGCAAATTGACCCTAACAGCAGAGCCACTGGGAATCACTGGTCACTATGACACACACTGACCACCAGGGGGCAGACACTCAATGCAGGAGCTGCCCCCTGGTGGTCAGTATGCTCCCACAGGGGGAGCTCTACTCAGCCACAAGCCAGGCTGAGGGCTGCCAGGACAGCAGTGGTGGTGGGAGCCTCTTCCCCCTTCTCAGCAGTGCTAAGGATGTCCGACTGCAGCTAGGCCTGCGCCCCGCTGGCAAGTGGACATCCCCCAAGGGCTCCAAGGCTGCCACAGGGATGTCTGACTGCCAGCTTAGGCCCAATCCCCCAGGGAGTGGGTTTAATCCAGCAGATGATTGTTTCTAGAATTTCACGTTCATCCTATATAATAAAAGGGTAATATGCAAATTGACCCTAACAGCAGAGCCACTGGGAATCACTGGTCACTATGACACACACTGACCACCAGGGGGCAGACGCTCAATGCAGGAGCTGCCCCCTGGTGGTCAGTATGCTCCCACAGGGGGAGCTCTACTCAGCCACAAGCCAGGCTGAGGGCTGCCAGGACAGCAGTGGTGGTGGGAGCCTCCTCCCCCTTCTCAGCAGTGCTAAGGATGTCCGACTGCAGCTAGGCCTGCTCCCCGCTGGCAAGTGGACATCCCCCAAGGGCTCCAAGGCTGCCACAGGGATGTCTGACTGCCAGCGTAGGCCCAATCCCCCAGGGAGCGGGCCTAAGCCAGCAGGTGGTCATCCCCCGAGGGGTCCCAGACTGCGAGAGGGCACAGGCCGAGCTGAGGGGCCCTCCCGAGTGCACAAATTTTTGTGCACCTGGCCTCTAGTAAATTAATAATAAAAGATAAAAAATACTTTGTCTTTAATACAGAATATACACTACTGCACTCCCTTTGCAAGTAGCATGTAGGAAAAACTATTTAGAAACTGCAGTAACCATGTGGTCTGATGCTTTATGGCACCACCGGCCCCACTACAACCACACTCGACACTCACCTACAGAAAAGGGCAGTGTTCAGTATAGCCTTCCTGTCACTCCAGGACCAGTGACCAGTTTACAGACTAGGAACCAATGTTTGGAACAAGGAGACATCCCACTCACACACGGACCCTCCCATCTGCTGGGAGCCTGCACCACCTATTAGTGAGACCAGACAGGCCACAGGCCTCACGTCGCCTGTAGCTCTTCCTCTGTTGTGTTTAACAAGGTCATTCTATATCCCGTTCTTCCATGAACAAATGAAACTGAGCTGCCACAGTAACTGCCGCTCCTTCTTTTTAAAAGCAATTACAAGCTTTCTATTCACTCAGATTGAGGTGAACAATTTGGTTTCCTCAAAATCGCTCAGCAAATTCCGGGTTAGGAAAGGGCTTCTCAGCCCCCAGCACACACTCTGCCTGATCCTCACGCATCTGACATCTCCTCCAGAATTCACTCTGAGGGATCCTTTCCTCCCCCGCACCCTCTCCCACCCCCCCACCGTGTCCCCACCCAAGTGCAAATGCTTCTGGAAGATCTTGGTAGTTTTAAAACAAAAACCAATTTTTTTAAAAATATTTTTCATCTATTCTACGGAAGATGAAGCTGCACCACTAACATAAATTTGACCTTAGTTTCAGTTCATCCCACTCTGAGTGTATAAAGGCACAAAGCAATTTTACTTAAAAGCTTTTGCATAAAATTCCTGGGACAGCTGCAAAAGAGCAGATGGGATGGGGTGCAGAAGACCCCTCAAAAACTCTCATCCCTGACACTGTTGTGTTTAACAAAGTGCAGCCCCGGGAACAGCAGCATTTCATAGGAGTGACGGAGGGATTCACTGTCTTTCGACGGATCCAAACTGAGAAAGGCCCATTGTCCGCCTGCACAGCCTCCAACGCACAGACCTGGGCTGTGTGCAAACAGCTGTCCGCTCAGAGCACTCTGCAGAGCAGAGAGCACTGCTCACAGTCAAAAATTGAAATGCAATTAGACAGCAAATACGAAAAGAGAAGCAGGAGAAAGTAGGAGAACAGGATGTGGTATTATTCTGGTAAAACTAAAATTATGTGACGTGAATAAAACTATTTGAAGACTTGATAACTGTGTAAAAATAAATATTTAAGTCAAAGACCTACTCTTCTAGTAAAACAGTTACAAAAATAGAATATCATACTAAATGAATACACAATATACCAATGTGAACTGGTTAGAACTATTTTACATTGAACTATTTTACCATTGAAAAAATCATTTCTCTCCCCTCCACATTCTTCTCTCCAATAAAGTTGTTCTTGAAGAGGGACATTTGATAAAACACCGAAAGCTTTGAGAGACTTGTCCGGTGACAGTGTTCTTTGGGCTGTCGTCATGGACTCAGTTTCTCTCATAAGGTTCTGAATCTGAAGGCTGTTTTCTTTACTCTGGATGCTGTGAGCCGGCTCAGCATCTGGTCACACCAACTCCATATCAACAAGGATCTGACCCTGGGCTCCCAGCCACCCGGAGGCTGCCCCTCCTGGCAAACATGCCCTTTGCACAGAGCTGAACTGGTGCCGCTTCTGGGCACAGATGACACAGGTCAGGGCGGGGCCTGAGCTGCAGAGCCCAGACCCCGGCTCCTTCCTGGAGATTCCGCACAGCTGGGAGCCGGAACGCTGATGACAGGACCTGCCTCTCCAAAACGGTCCCCGTACAAGAAAAGGACTTCAGCAGTATTTCAGCTCCCACTTATCGTTTCATGGTATTTGCGCTTGTTTGCCACCCAGGGGGAATGGCGTAAGTGGAGTAACAGAGGAGCCCTCCAGTGACTGGAAACGTGCTGAGTCATCAAAGCAGCCACCAGTGCCGGGTGCACAGTGCGTGATGCTGAGAAGTGTGCATGCAGGTGCGAGCCCCAGGGATAGAGAACACCATCTTGGGGTTCCAGAACTTTGATTCAGAGGACTGAAAGCAGTTGATACCATGGCATGCTTGGTTTTCACACCTTTGCCTTTTTAAATTAATGTAGACATTATTAAAAGGTATCACAGTGCCTCTTAGCAAACCAGTCAAAAAAGATGCCCTGAAAATATTTCCTCTGGAGGCCAGGGTGGGTCCACCTGAAACAAGGAAGCATCTGTAGGGGGTTACGGTGTGTCACTCGGCTAATTCTTGATTTCTAAGTTCCACGGCCCCAACTTCTCCGCAACATCTCCAACCTTCGGGAGTTCCATAAGCTTCTTCAGTGGAGCTCTTTATTCCTGGAAAAAACAACCGTGTGGTCACTTGGGTGCACTGGACCAGACCTGGCAGTGATCATGGCCCTGGGGCCTCCAATCACCCAAGACATATTTCAAGGAGCCCCACTGTTGGGAAGGCTCCCCCCTGAGGAATAAGGAAAGCTGTCAATCAACTCCAGTCCAGGCTGAGGCTGCAGGGCCACACATTATACGCCCCAGGCTCCCCGCAGACCTTGGTTCTGTGATATTTGCTGCATCATCTTGTACCATAGAAATGCATACCTGAGACCTATGTGATCCTATTGACCAATGTCACCCCAATACATTCAATTGAAAAATTCATACATTTCCTTTTTGCATTTTAAATTTTGAAATGAAGTTGGCAGCCTTAGTAAAGAGCCATCTGGTCTCTCTCTGTCAGATAAATATCCATCTTCTTGTAGCCTTTTCCTGGATTTTTGAAATCAGTTTCCCTCCAACTGTTCACAGGCAGTAAAGGAAATGTCTGAATGTTGGTAAAGCCAGTATGTACTGTCACAGAGTTGAAGGACAGAACAGAAAACAAGGCAGGCAGCCCAGATACATACCTGCAGGCAAACAAACCCCACCCTTTCCAAACAAATCTCCCTAAAAAGGCCCAGGGCTGACCTGAGACAGGAAGGGGTGCCTCAAAGGCTACTCAATGCTGTTCACGTAAAATGCTCAGCGAGGGACCCAGCTAGGGTCCCACCCCGTGGTGGGTCAGCAGAGAAAGGAGCAGGACGCAGGAGTGTGTGTGTTTGCTCCTCCAGGGTTTTTTACTGAAGAATGATGTGAAGAGAGCTGGGGAATACCTGAGATTTTGCCTTAAAATTAAACAATGTTTATCCCAAAGGACAAGTTACCATTCTCTTATAACAATATTAAAACCAGTAACATATATCCAAAGCCACACAGCAGAGAGACTGAAATTTCAGCAGCCCTGCCTTTGCAGCAACTTGAAGGACAGGAAGATGACTAAACACCCGCAGACAGAGAAGCAATTCTCATGAATTATACGCTGGGAAATGGAACACAAAATCACCCACGTGTAGCTGCCTGTTGCTCACGATCCCCATGGGGTCACTGCACGTTCTGAGTCATTCCCCAGCTCTGAACTCTCCATTTTGACAAGTAAACATTTTTACTCCATGGGGGTAATAACCTTATGAATTTGTTCTTTAATCTGGATAGTATATTTTAATTTTAATTGCTAATAATACCTCTACCTACCAATGGGACAAAAACCGCCATGTAAAATATATTTGTTTTTATTTTCAGTTAGAAAGCAAACCAACTGATTTTCTGAATTTTTCGTGAAATCCTGTAATAAATTTGTATGAATTCCAACACAAATGTGCTGATAAACTAGAGAAAAATTTCAGCTTGCATTCATCTCAAACAAGTAACCCCATGAGGACAGGTTGGCTGCCAGAGGACCCTCAGCCGAGAAAGGGGTGGAGGCTGCTCTGTGCTCAGCTCTCTCCACTGGACCTTCTTCACGGGAGTCTACAGGGGTCCAACCAGGGGGCTGTGATCAGAAGCAGATGTTGCCTCAGTCCCAAGGAGCTGGACAGCCAGACACTCATTTCCTCCTCCCAACCCTCCAACTAGCCAGGCGTGGGTCTCCTGGGGTAAAGTTCCCAGGACTCCAGCCCTGTCCTGGGTCCAGGGGAGTAAACGTGTGAAGCAAATATATGCAGTGCTGGTGGCTGCTGAGGCAGAGAAAGTTGGGCTGGCTCGGTGACTCTCCCTTTCTCTGCTCAGACGGGAGGGGACACTGCCCGCCCCCCCAGCTCCCCCCAGGATGGAGAGAGAGGCAGAGGCCGACCCCATGAACCGCTGTTCTGCATAGCTTCACTCTCCGCAGTTTCTGTCTGTTCTCTCTGCCTTGACATCAACGGCTCCCATGTCAGGCTGACCACACTTCTTACACTTTCCTAGGCTCAACCCTAACCTCAGGGCCTTGGGAAGGTTCCTTCATGGGCTGCACCCCAATTCTGCTCAGGATGCTGCTTTGACATTGGAGCCCTGGGCCTGGATGGGTCTGGGTTTGGAGGGATCGGAGATGAGTCTTTTATGTTCCTGTTGTTGAGTTTTATTTGGGTTTGTCTGTGCATTGCTTGTTCTCAGCACATTTACCCTCCAGTGCACCTGCCATCTGTGCCTAAAGCACAGGAGGGACCTACTTATAAACGTACACGTTACATTTCCAATAGGTAGTGCTGCTTTCTTTTCCTTTTCTGGGTTCCAGTCAGGAAACCCGGATACACAGATACCTGACTATACAGATCACAACGTGCAGTCGGAGACCCTCCCTCTTCCTTCCTTTTATGGACAATGGATGCCCTAAGTGCAGGGTGGTGACTGACAGAAGACATGCCTCCCAGGCCCCAGGTCAGGGCTCTGTGCACCTGACCATATCCCTCTGGGACCACCAGAGCCCCTAAAACTTGCACCCTCCACACCAAGATACCCACAGTGCCCGCATCTCATCTCATTGCCAAGAAGAGAATCTATGAAAAACACAAGTAAATCCTTTCTGTACTTAAATGTTGACTACCCATTTACATCCACTGGGGGCTTATGCTAGTGGCAATTAATCTTCAATAAATTATAAGAAGGAATTTAGGTCATGATCCCTCCAGGTCCAAAACAGACAATGACCTCCTCTCTCCTTGTTAACTTTCACACCTGAACTAGGACTATGGCCCCTCAGGGGCCTTACCAGCTGTCGCTTCCATTCTCACACACAGGTGAGCTGTGACACACAAGTCTGTGGCGCCTCCCTCAACAGCCTAAACACTGACACTGTGTCTTCAATTAGTTTATGTCGAGGGCAAACAAAATACTTCCATCACATGATTTTAAAAATTATACCAAGTTGTCATTGAAGGATAGAGAAGATACTGTAATCTTTAAATTCTTGGTTCTCATAAGAGAACCCTGAAAAAGTGCAGCCTCCTCTCCCTTCTCTGTCCCTGGAAATGCCCCCACAAGTGCCAGGAAGGGGGTACAGGTGACAGTGGGGGCCAGCACTCCTTAGCTCCTCAGCGGAGAACCGAGATCAATCCGCTGTCATAGGGCAAGAAGCAACCTCCGGTATGGCCCTCAGAGGCACAGGAGCTATAGAGTTGGGGCCACGCAGAGCTCAAAGGCACAGAGACAACCTAGTCCAGCGCCCAGTTCACCAACCAAAGCTCCTTGTACACTGAGCTGCCCCAGCGACAAAGCTCTCAAACAATGTGAAACATATCTGGACAAAGAGAGATCTGTCCACGAAATGAACGCCTAACTGCCACAAGGCCCGGTAGGGCCTCCTCCCAGCATCGCTGATCAAGGCCTCCAGGCTGTGAGAGGCCCGCCCTCCAGGGACAGTCAGCTCTGATATAACCCCAGGACGCCCCACGTCACGCAGGAACCAGGGCTCCGGGCTATTTCCATGGCAGACATCATAACAGCAGATGTACAGCTGCGCTCTGGCAGCGCTTTAGTCCGAGTGTTTTCTCTTCCCATAGAAATGAGCCAACCGGCTGGTGCTACGGACAGAATCAGGTTCCAGGCTGTCAGAGGAAAGGGCCTGGGACCGAGGGAACCTGGGTTGTCTCGCCCCAGACTCTGCGTCTCACTCTCCGGGTCCCTTCCCACTTCAGAGGCCTGCACACCCGCTCCATGCAGCTCTGCCACCCACACAGCCCTCGCAGACGCCCACGGACACCCCGTGGTGGCTCACCCGTGGGTCCCGGCCTCGCCGCGGTGGTCACGCGGGCCCTGCCATCGTGGCGCTGGCGTCTCCGTGGCCTTCCTGCCAGTGTCCA